TTTTTGACCCCCAAATTGTAAAAAATAGCTCCAACATGCATAGGGCATGGTGACGTCATAAGCATTTTCGCGAATTAGAGGCACTTCTGAACATCGCATGTGAAAACAAATGGCACCACTAGATTCCTGGGACAAAGCTCGTCTAGAAAAGTGCATTTTCATGTCAAAAATAAGAAGTTGAAAAATTGACTTTTTTTCTTAGCCCTCGTATGGTACCTATAAACGATTTTTTATGCTTTCAATGCACACTTATCACCAGCACAGTGACTTGGGGTCACATATAACCATTACCATCGGATTTGGCGTGAAAAATAAGCCATAAAACATGTGTCGCACGCCCATGTAGCAGAAAGTGAAGACAGTGACCTTTCGTGACCTGACCTGACCTTGACCCGTACTTAGTATGACCCCTATACGCACATGGTACCTTCACTATGTCTTTGAGGTCATTTGTGGTGAGTTTCGAGCAGCAGCTATCGATTCCGCTGTCCGTAAGCCTAATCATGCAAAACCCCTGAATTTGACCTTTGACCTGACCTTGACCCGAAAGTTGACCTCAATCTTAAAATCTTAATAGTGCTTTGGGAAGGTCTCGTAGAGACCTTTCGAACGCCGCCTCGCGGGGCTCGATACGACCATTGGTTCTCGAGATAACAGGGGGGGGGGGGTCGGATCCGACCCCCCCCCCCCAGGCTGATGTGGGTACGGAAATAGCCCAGGCGGTGCCGGGCAGGGCTGCGGAGTCGATGGATTTTCGGCGACTCCGACTCCGACTCCGACTCCGGCTTTCAAAAACCAGCTCCGACTCCGACTCCGACTCCGGCCAGAATTGTCGACTCCGACTGACTCCAACTCCCGACTCCGACTCCGCAGACCTAGCAGGGCTGCGGAGTCGACAGATTTTCGGTGACTCCGACTCCGACTCCGGATCGGGTTTCTAAAGCGACTCCGACTCCGACTCCGACTCCGGTCACAACTGTCGACTCCGACCGACTCCGACTCCGACTCCGACTCCGACTCCGCAGCCCTGGTGCCGGGTTAAGAGCATTCATATGCCGGCATAAGACATTCACCTTTTATAGCCCGTCACAGGCCGACGTGGGGCCCTCAGAAATAGGCATGGAGTTCTCGGAAACCTGCATAAGGTCCTCATTGACTACCGTCGGAACTTAAATCTGCGATGGGCCCCAAAACGCCACCGTGGAGCCCTCAAAGACCTGTAGATTGCAGCCTTCAGAAACCAGCGTGGACGCTCGGGTGCCGATGTAGAATGATCAGGGATTGGTGCGGGCCAACGGTGAGTTCAGTGCGGGTTCGCTCAACCTTTCAAATGACCTGTTGACCAGTGGGATGGAATGGAACAGACTTACAAAACCAGCTGCTCGAACGGCGCCCCGGAAGACGAAGGGACATGTTCATTTCACATTGCTTTTTGCTAATGATATCTGCATGTCAGGGCCAAAAGGCAGTAGCTACTAGCCTGAGAACTGAGCAGGGAATGAGGGATGTATTTGGTTCAGAAGAGGCTGATTCTGCTCCCAATGATAGGGGGTTGGATATGTTATCTGTGTAATTCAAACTCAGTTCTGAGTTATCACTTCAGATTCATAAGGCTTCAGAGGGTGGAGCCTTATGACCAGTGACACAAAAAATTTGTGACTTTTACATTCTTCCATTCAGTTATCAGTTACATATGTGAAAGATAAATGGCCCTGGCAATGAAAATAACTTTAAGGGTACCCCAGGCTTGTTGAAGGGAAGGTATGAATGAACACCCGAGGACATCAGATTGCTTCCCTCTCCCAGGTACTATGGACGTCAAACCCCTTGAGACCCCACTTTTTTGCGATAATTTTTAAATGCGTCAACTCTCGTTGACAATATTCTGGCAATGTGTGTTTCAGAACCTGCCGAAACTTTTATTACTAAGGTATTTTGACGCCAAACGATTATGAAAGGTACTTCTCATTCACTCGTAATGTTAAATTTCACGGAACGAATCTGCTGTTTGGGTAGAGGCTACGCGCTCATGAGGCGGAGCCACGTAATGACGTCAGCGCTAAGCTCCGCCCTACCCCTCCGGCGCTCCTTGCCCGGCGACCGGTCACTCGCGTCTCTCGCTCCATTCAGGCTTGAAGGTGGGCGGTAGCTGGTAGCGGTAGCGGGCGCTGATAGATGGCATTTAGAGCAGATGGCGCTGGTGGCGGGGCTCGAGTGTGGCCGAGCGCAAGCCTCTACCCGGGCCTGAATTGACCTTAACATTACGAGTGAATGAGAAGTACCTTCCATAATCGTTTGGCGTCGTCAAAATACCTTAGTAATAAAAGTTTCGGCAGGTTCTGAAACATGCATTGCCAGAATATTGTCAACGAAAGTTGACGCATTTAAAAATCATCGCCAAAAAGTGGGGTCTCAAGGGGTTTGACGTTCATAGTAGTATTCTCACACCATTGATCATATGATGTTGATATAGTTCAGGAAACAAAAGAGATATATGTGCAAATTCAGGGCAGCTGTGAACGTATCATTGATTACAATGCCTCTAATGCCACCAATACTGCACCAACTTCTAAAGCACTGAGCAGAGGTTGTAACTAATAAAGCAGACCATTTGTCGATTCAATGCTGAGTAAGGGGGTGACTGAGGTGAGGTGCAATGAGCTAAATATGTTCTGTGCTCTGCTGGACACATGTGCAGAACACATGTAGCATATTGTGCTGCACCACACATGCCAGCAACAGCCTTAATTGTAGGTCTAATCTCTTCAGCTACCTCCTTGAAACAAACAGCCATCTCAGCAGCAAGTGGGTTTTGAGGGTTGGCAGCAAGACTCCTCAGTTCCTTCCTTCCAGGGCTGCAGCCTGCTGCTGGAAGCTGCCTCAGAAGCCCTAGCATAGTGGAACAGCTGCTGTTGGCAGTGGAATCGGGTTGGCAGCCATCACTTCTGACTTCCGATTTCGGTCAAATGCCACTAGTTGTAGTCTGAGTCCTGTCTTTTGTACTTGTGTGGTCATGTCATTGTCATACCATGCTACTGCTACAACATGAAAGATTGCATATGCACCTTATTGCCTGAAATATATCCATTCTAATAATGGAAACAAGATCATTTAACGAATTGCCATGCGTCTTTGTAAGCTGCTTCAGACTGAGATTAAAAGTCAAAGGTCATAGCGATTTCTGCAGCCAAATGCTGTATGATATTCACTAGCGATAGCAGGGTAATTTACTCCAAAGGTCAAAAACCCAAAACGTTACATAAAAGGGATCAAAATCGATAATAATCAACCTCCCCCAACCCCAATTTCCACTGAAGCTGATAGAGAAATACATGTTTACCGGCAGTGATGCCATCCACATTTTTGCTCCATCCCAAGATCTCGACCAGAATTTCCCAAGATTCTCGTCTCGAATCCCAAGACTGCTTATCACATACCTAATATCTATCCCTAGGTGTACGTCAAGTAAATCCATAGCTTATTTTTCTACACGTTAGTGTGGTTAGTATTCAACTTTCTCTTAATCGGGTCCACCCACGTCCTCATTGGCGTCTTTACAGCAGCTAATGTAGAGGTCGGGGGAGGGGGAAGGGGGGATCGATCGGACTCCTACAGCTGATCGGTTGGCAGGTCAACAAGGACCCAAAATACAAAGTCGGAATCTGTTAGAATTTCTTGGAAACGATAACGAAGTCTGTGGCATTTTGTTTTTTTTTTATTTCGAATTTTGTTTTTAACATGGCACATTTGGACTTTGGAAATGCTAGGGTCAGGTGAGGTCAGGCTGTTTTAAAGTGTTTTCCACCAATGACAGTTTTGAAATATGGACTCCAAAACAAGGGCGCTGTTCGGTCGCAGTTTTTTGTCAGCAGGCTGCGAGCATGCTGCTTCGTGGCTCCTCATTGATCGAATTCAAGTTGTCTATTCGTTAGACCAATGAGAGGTCAGGAAGCGCAAGCAATAACTTCCTTATATGGGAAAACCGAGAGCACACTGATAAAAACAGGGACCGAACGGAGCTCTGCTCTCAAAAGCTTACATGAATCCCGAAATCGTGACGCCTAACTATGCTGTGAAACTGCATGCGTGCATGCGTGTAACTGCTGGGGCCCATGAATTTTCAAGCCGACGATGGCGAGGGGGTCTAAACGAGCACCTAACTCGTCCCCTGGACTGAACAGTGACAAGTCGTCAGCAGTGTTGTAAGAGTCGCAACTCGCAAGGATACACTTTAATCATTTTTTTTAGTCAAGCAGAGGTCAGGTGACCACACACTTTTCCGAGGTCATTGCCCTTATTTCGGTTCGGGTCAACTTGATAGGTAAGCCTCCAAAGAGCAAACCCATAATATGAAACGCTTTGTGCGGGAGCCGCTTTCTGAAACATTTTTTTTTTGGCATAATGTTTGTTAATGCTTTTCATAGCCAAAGCCACCCAACATCATGTCGCCAAACCACCCATACCCGTTGATCGGTAGTTGGAAAATGAACAGATGGGCGCCAGTCGCCAAACGCCGACTGAGAGCTGCTACTGTACTCATAATAAGTAATGATACAAAACTAATCCTGCTATCTCGGGAAGATGATGCCTGCTAGAAACACCGCAAGCTTGGTCCGAATATAGCTTACTTCAATATGTTTGAATGCTCTTAACCGTCGGCGAGGCAAATCCATCTCAAATTTCTTATCGTCTGAGGAAAAAGCATTCGAAAGCATGAGAAGACAAATTGAAATCAGCTTCTGCCAGATCCCAAGATATACAGTGCAAATCACAAGATCCCAATGTTGATGTCCAAATCCCAAGATCTTGGGACAAATCCCAAGGAATGGCATCGCTGTTTACCGGTATTCGTAACTCGTGCGCCACATTCGCTATCCTATCTATACGGTTCTACGGTGCTGCCACCTAGCGAGGTGTCACGAGGCGAATACGCCTGTCATCTAGCGTACGTGACCTTGAATTAAATAGCAAACCTTGGTAGTGGCGCGCACGTGCGCTTGCACGTGGCTACTGCGCATGACTGCGCGTGTTCATGCAATTTTTTCAAGTGTTTTCGCTCGAAGCAAGCCGGCTCGAAGCGCTCGAAGTAGGTGGTTTGGCCAAATTTTAGGGTGTGAATTATTCCTGATGAATTTCATACTTGTGCTTTGGAACTAGATATTAGAACAGACAACAGTGTCTTGCTGTGGAACTTGCCTTATCATATAAGGAAAATTGGAAATGCATGATTTCCATGGACAAAGCACTTCAACCTACTCAATTATGTCGGTGGCAGGGTCCGGCAATAGCACAACGGGGCGTGGATTTGGATTAATAATTTGAAACTCAATGCTGTTATTTTTTTCAGATTTGGTCAAGATATGCATTCTCTCAAGTTCTCAACTATCCTCAGGAAATTAGAGGCTTGTCAGCCTCACCCTAATTGGGTTCTTTCACTTGTTATTCATAGAAAGGTTCATGCTGTCGGTAATACCGTAGATGAACTTTTACAGCACTGGAAATCTGTGTTTGTTGGTGCTGAGGTCTCCGAGCCAGAAGCCTCCATACAGCACTTAATGGGTGCTTCTCTGCAGTGCTCAACGGTAAGCACAAAACAAAGCAAATTAGGGCAGTGCTTCATGTTATGCTGCCTGTGTGCTGATGTCATAGTGGGCAATTCTGGCGCATGATTGCCTCTATTTTAAGTGACATCAATTATGTGGTTAAAGTAGACATCCTTGTAAAATAAAGTGATGTCTTCAGCAGCATCAAATTTTACTTCTATGCTGGTGATGTCATTCAATACCTATTGTTGCAAGCATGCTCCAAAATTGCACACTATGAAGTATGATGTCAGCAACTTTGACAGCAGCGGCTGTGGAACACCGCCCAGGTACCTACTTGGATGTCAATATTCAATATCTTGCTTGGTTCATTTTTTCAGGCTAATGCTAAACATTTTTTTTTTTTAAAGTCTAAGGTCTTGTAATCCACATCAGGGGAAACAGAAGTGATGCAGAATTCTTTCTGTTTAAAGGGCCCTGTTCAAGTGTCCGCGGCCGCCGCGGCTCCCGCGGCCAAAAAGGCGGAGCTTAGCTGGCGGCCAATCAGGCGAGAGCAGCATTCTGGGTAATGCGTAGCTCTTCCTGCGGCTCCCGCGGTCGCTCGGGAGCGACCGCAAGGAAACTTCGACATAAACTGCGCGCGTGAGACAAAACATTGCGGATTTCGCTCTTTATTTCGGTTGATTTTATTATGTTGTTAAGGTATAATTGCTTCAAAAAGGTACTAATTGAAGTAATAAAGCCATTATAAAGCAATTACGCACAAAATTTTGATCAGCATCTCCTTTCAAAACAACCGTGCCATTCTCGTCGCCGGCCGCAGCGGCCGCAGCCGCAAGGGTGTTCAACCTAACCGAAATTAGGCTCCGCCTCCCGGCCGCGGGAGCCGCGGCGGCCGCAGAGCACTTGAACAGGGCTCTGAACAGTAAATTTTTGAAAGATTTCAAAACATTGCAAATTTCGGAGCTTCATCTAAATATTCGGAAAGTGGCAGGAAATGCTGAATAACACAGACTTCAGCGCGATGTGGCTGGGGTATAAGATAGAGGTAAGAAATTTCTGCCATTTTTCCCTGCAACTCCTCAAGCTCATTAACTGTCAGACTGTTAAATAATCTTTGGACATGCTCTGAGTCTGCTTCCACATGGGATAAGGCTTAGCTGTTTTCAACAAAGCAGGGCTGCAGTGCACACACACACACATGCCATAATGCTTTTCATAAACAATGTTAAACATTACATTTGTTTTGATTGGTTTTTGCTTTCAGGGAGAGCTACGCCATATGGGAAATGCTGTTTTGACTGCACAGCAGTTGAGAGATCTAGAGAGACGCTGTCTTTGTCGCCTGCAAAGGTAAGTTAGCTTGACTTAATAATTGTATTCGCTGGTCTGTTGTATCCCGACGGTTAAAATGTACCGATGTGCTGTACCGTGTGAGGTGTTTCGCTCAAACACATGAGTGTTATCTGCAGAGAATTAAATTAAATGATATACGCTTGATGGTCTCAGTTAATCAAAGGATATCACATCACTTAAACATAAGTTGATAATAACACATCTTTGCAGTAAGTAGCAAAACATCCTACAAACGTACGAGTGAGGGGCAGTGCTTTCCGCGATAGCTAATTTTCGGACCTGCGATAACGATAAAACGATAAGAAAGGTTTGCGATAACGATAAACAATAAAACTTTTCAAAAAAAATTAACAGCGATAGCTATAAAGCGATAAAACGATAACGATAATTGTTTTTTTTTTTAACAGCGATAACGAAACGATAAAACGATAACGATAATTGTTTTTTAACAACGATAACGAAACGATAAAATGATAACGATACTTTTTTAACAGCGATAATAAAAGCGATAAGAAATACAGCTTGAATAAGTGTAGTTACCTTCTTAAAGTATATTTGCGGGCCATATACTCAATGGCTGCTGCATTGATCCAGTATTGAGTAGGTATATACTGCAAAAAAGGACAAAAAAAAATAGTCAAGCTCAGCAATCAGCATCTGTCTCATGCTCTGTGTCAGTGTTGGCCTCCCTCTTCTCCCTCTTCAAGATAGCCGGGCCATGTTGCCCTTGGTTCCATTTTTCCATCATCCCGTTTTACATTTTACCTATCGTTTATCGTTCATATTTTTTGTAACTTGCGATAAGTGGATGAGCGATAATTTTGAAAATTTATCGATAAACGATAAAGATACCGTAAAACGGGGCGACTTTGGACAGTTTTGAGACTTATCGGTGATTATCTTGAAAACTACTGTAGATAGGAATGTGAAACATGGACTATTTTGTGGGCTGAGTCTGGCCTTATCCATCCACGGTGTCAACAAAAAATTAGGTATAGCCATTTCCCTATTTTTTAAAAAAGTGTCTGGTGTTCAAAGTCACCATGCAATGGGGTGACTTTGAACAGTCTGTGTTTTTCATCATTTATCTCAGTAGTTGTGCAATTCCTCGTGCCGGTTGGGGTGGCTTTGAACACCCTGATGCTTTTTAAAAAAGAGGCCAAAAACAATTTATACCTGCAAAAGTCCTTCTGGGGGTAGTAGTCAAAACAAGGCGAGCTCATCAAGCAAAAAACACAACTTCTTGTAACAGCCTCTGCTGATGAATCAAACAGCATATTCACAGAAATTAGCACACAGACAGTGAGTAAAAAGAAGCATCTTTCATGGCAAACACCTTACTTACTCACCTTAACACTTGCTTAGGCACTGTGGACCAACACTCACAGGATATGAAATCACTCGATTCAACTCAACTCAAGTGTAATGCATGCACTCGACTAGGTCTGTGCATGAAATACACCTGAGACCACCTGAGTACAGAGTATCCTTGGACACAGTTAACACTTGACACCCGACTTAACACCTTAATACTAACACTTAACACTAGGTACACTTGCTAGCGTCAGAACACGTCAGTCATGAGTTTACCCCAGCATCAGTTTGTATGGTGAGAGCTCCTCACTCTTGAAGTGGAGCCTGCCCTTCCTGTCCATGTCAGACTGGCTTAGCTTGCACACCAGCTAGTCGATCTCTGTTACACCCCTATTTTGTAGCGCAAAATGTATGCAGTGTATTTTGGTGGGGTTACTTTGATCAACAAGTCTTTTGAACAACAAGTTAGGCATGCATGTCACCGGGGCTACATTGAACACGTTCAAAGTCACCCCAGCGAAGTTCCAAAAATGTCATGCTTTTACAAATCCCTTCACTGCATTGGCCATGCTCAAGCAAGCTAAAAAATTATGATGGGGCAATATAGGCCAACCATCGAGGATGGCAAAAATATGTCATTCCGTTCCATGACCATAATGACTAGTCCATGCCATATGGAAGTTTACGGGTATATCTCAAAAAGCTAAAAACATTGATTTAGTTTTTGATTTTTTACTCCTATGTACTAAGGTACATATCTTCCAATATGTCATGTACATTTTCAAAAATGTGCATTCTTATCTGTAAAAAAACATGGCTGCATTTATAATTCACATTTGTAAGATATTTGTGATTCCCTCTAAGAAGTGAACGGCGTTCAAAGTCACCCGGAAGTTCAAAGCCACCCCAGTTTACGGTAACCGGTTTACTTAACAGCGATAATTATCGTTTATCGTTTATCGCTCATCCTATCGCATGCGGAAACCACTGGTGAGGGGCCGTAAAGGCGGTGCCGCTGCGCTCCGGATGTTGGCCGCTGCGCGTTCCGGACGGGGTCCGCTGCGCTCTGGACGTTGGCCGCTGCGGGTGTCCTGCTTAGAGCCTCGGGAGCACCTCGCGGAAACCAACCTACTGGCCCATGGGGCTTGAGAAGGCGTACCGGATGGACCACAGCACACAGGCCAGCATGCGTTGCCAGCTGCCACGGCTTTTTGGGCTCTGTTTAACAGAGTCTGCCACATTCCGAATGGTTTCCTCTGTTCTCACGCTGCAGTTTCTACCGGTTTGTCTCCTGGTTGAACTGCCTTCCTTCTTGAACTTTTCCACCCACCTTCTTACACAGCTTTTGGTTGGCGCTAAATCGCTCTAAGATGGTCAAAATTAAACTTTTTAAGGAACAGTCGCCGAGCCTTTTAGATTTTTTTTCTTTAACAATATAGGCCTCTGCAGTAAAAGCCATCTGTACGTCCGTCCGCATCCTAAGACAGTTATTTTATGATTTTCTGTCATGCCGTGATGTCTTTTATCAGCACGTGAAATTTTAACAATATAGCTCTTGCGATAAAAAATCACGAGCATAACACATGAGTACCATTTTAAAACGGACACCCGGTACCTACATTCACGATACATACATCCATATGCTTCTACATGTGTTGTACGTCATACAACATACCTTCGACGTTCGGCTTTGATGGCGTGTGTCCGGGGCAGAGTTGGAGTAAGTGCAGTAATTTCCTGATATTTTCTCAAGGAAATATTATTTTCGTCTAGTATCCGAGCGGCGACGACTTTTGGCGAAGCCTTCGAGGCAGCCGTAGCGCAGGACGTGGCGCTGAGGTCGAGACCATAGTGTGAAGCTGTTTGCATCAGCTCCTTCTTTCGTCGTTTGTGGCGTTCGGAATATTCTTCAGGGCACTTCCTCTTACGAGCGCGCGGAGTTTCTGACGTATTTGGCGACGACCGAATGTTCTGGTGATTCCCAATTGGCTTCAGAATTGGTCGGCCACGCTCGGCGATAAAGACAACTGGGTGTTGATGTTGACGACCTAGCGGCCGGGGCAGCGTTGGCGTGGTCGGATTCATTGGCTCCCATGGACGCTCTGTTGTGGCTGGCGGCTCGGGCGCCCCGTGGTGACCGGCAGCTGAGGGCGTCCCGTCGCAGCCGGCGGGTGAGAGCGCACCGTCGCGGCCGCCAGCTGAGAGGTCTTGGTCTGCGGATTGGGCCGCCCCGTCGTGGGCAGTGGGTGAGGGCGCCTTGCCCATTACTTAGCTTGCAAATTAAGCTAATACTCAGCCGCCACTGACACACCAATCCGGTGACCCGGATGGACCGGGAGGGCGTGTGGACAGAGGAGCCGACGGGTGGAGGCGGCACCCTAGGAAGTGCCACTGGAGGGGAGGGTGCGCGCGCGCCATCTGTAGTACCTACGGTGGCGCGCACCTCCTCTAAGGACATGCCATCCACCGCTGCCTAACAGAAATGAATTAGGTTTTGAACGGTAATTGGTAGAATCGTCGCATGACAGCCAAAATTCCCAAAAGGCATGTCGCTGTACAATCATTTTAAATACAGCTACACATCTTCATAGAATCTGGAAGCCCTTATTTAAATTGGACGCTGTGAAGTGCGTAGCACATGGATAATAGACCAGGAGCAAAAGGACATTTACCAGTGGAATACCGTTAATAATTATACCTACTTTTGTAGGCACGTCCAGTAGACTGCAGCACACAAAGAAGCCACACACATACCAAGTACAGTTGGCGATTTGTTTGTAACAGTCATGGATCTTAAATGTTCAGTATAGGTATAGGGTAAGAATCATAAGTCCCCATTCCCATCCACATCCCCATTGCAGCACATATTTTTGGTTGCAGTTGATATTGTTTGAAAAAATAACTTAGAATTATTACTGATTCATCAATAGCACATGTGACATTAGGGAACTCTTCCTACTGAAAAACATTGACAATTGACATAAATAAAGATAAAAATATCATTGCGTTTGAAATAGCTACATACAACCAACTGGGCATCATATCCTCTCTACAGGGCTGTTTAGCGTTCTCCACGCTTTTGGAAGCAAAAAGAAATAATAAGAATCAATAGTATTTTGATTTGTTAATAAAGTAGGTTATATAAAGAACAAATAAGAAAGAGCCAAATCAAAAAGGAAAATAGAGCATAGAGCATAGAGCATGAGGATGAATAAATACATCACAATTCACAATCACTAACAAACTTTGATATGTAAGCTTGAACTTTTCTTTTAATTCTTAGTCTCATTTTTAAAGAAAAAGAAAAATAGCTAAGACTTCAACATAGAACTATGTAGGTTGTAAAACTCAACTTTGTTAATCAGTTATGCAATTTTTTTTAAATAACTTGTGACCTAAGAATGAAACCAGCAGCATAAAAAATGAGACTGACAAGTGACAAACAAGAGAGTAGGAATCTTATGTACCTACCGGGCTTTGCAAAAGTTCTGTTACACTTTCTTTTTCTTTATTTTGAGGGTTTACAGGTCTGGGCCAAACCTTTCGGCGATATCAATTGAAAATTCTGCTTATTAGAGACATGGTACCATGACGAATTTAACCTTCTTTTGCAGTTATATCAAAATGGAGGCCAAGAGAATAGAGATAGCCGCTTTGCTCCGCGCGCAGCATACCAAAGCTTT